TCATAGAACAAAGCATAGAATGGCAGTCAAACTTGTTTCTACCTCAACTTCATCGACTTTGAAAAGGCCTTCGACAGAGCAGTGCTGACTGAGATATAATTTGGAAACTACTCCAACACCACGGCGTACCTCAAGTCTTTATCAACCTCATTCAACAGCTGTCTATATGACAATGCCCGCCACGTGTCAGTTGATCCACGACGGGAAACTCAGCGAGGCGTTCGAAGTGAATACAAGAGTAAGACAAGATTGGTTCTCTATTATCACCGATGATATTCTTAATTGTGGTGGACTGGATTATACATCGGAGACAGCAGTACGCTGGACCACCGATGAGAAGACTTTAGAAGATCTAGATTTCGCAGATGACAAGTGGTTAATGTCACCTAAACTCGAAGACTTGCAAGCGAAAATCGACAATCTGGCTGAAGAGACTGGTAGAGAAAACAGGACTGCATGTGAACACAGGGAAGACGGAGGTGGTGAAAATAACCAATCAGCAGCAACAACAACCAGCACAAATCACCATCAACGGGAGAGATTTGAAAGAGGTTAATTCCTTCACTTATCTGGGAAGCCTCGTTTCAACTACAGATGGAACGGATGAAGATGTCAAAGTCAAACAGAATAGAAAATACAAGATACGCCTTCATCAGCCTGAAAGCAGTTTGGAAATCTTCTGCACTCCGCAATATAAACAATAAGATTCGGATTCTGTTCAACACAAATACGAAGTCGGTCACTGCCTCTATCCGGGTCAGATACTTGCACTGCGTGTCAAGAAAAGGATTTCCAACAGGTTGCAGACTTTTATCAACAGCTACCCAATTCGCTGGCTCCATACTGAAGATCGAATGGCCAGAAAGAATTAGTAACAAGAAACTGTGGGAAGAAACCAACAACAGGTGAGAACCAATCGCTCACCAAATATGTAAGAGAAGGTGGAGATGGATCGGGCATACGCCATTGAGGAAACCGTCGAATGACATCGCGCGCCACGCCATCACTTGAGTGGAATCCCAATCGGGAGCGACGAGTGGGTGGCCGGTACGAGGGTGACATAGAGGAGATCGTGTGGTGAGAAGGAGGAGATGAGAGACTGTGAGCAACCATGGTCCAAACTCAAGGGAATCATAATAATAATAATAATAATAATAATGTTATAATATTTCATTAAAAACACCAACTTACAATACGAATATCGTCGTCATCATAAACATTTGTCGATGAACCATCCACTGTGAGTACATAACAATAACGATTCATATGATCTAGATAATACTTTCCAAGGATATCTTCATAAGCATTTAAAAAGTCATCAGTTAGATTGCGTGCATTCACTTCCCACGGCTTCAAAAAAAACAGAAACAAAGGGTTCATCAAACAGATTTATATACATAGCAACATGTGATTAGTTCGGTTTGATATGCACACGATATATACACAAAGCAATGGTAGAACTGCGACTGTTCACTACTACTATTACTACGTCACAGACCCGAACCCTTCTCTATGTACCGAGGTTCGCGTAACCACGGGGTAATTAACACTAACCCCCTTGCAATAGATATGACTCGTTGCCAAATGCATGGGCATCCAAGTGGCACGTGTTCAGTAACATCTCCATGTATGACAATAAGTATTCTTCTGTAACAGGAATATCAACATCACTCTCAGCACTGAGAACAAATCGTTTCAACAATATCTTTATGTAATAGTAATAATAATAATGTGCTTCATTCCAAAACAATACTTATGATACTTCACCAATTAAACAGTAACCGACTTGTTTTTTTTTTCTTTTTGACATTAACTTCCCTGTTTACAAATGTCTCAGTCATTGAGAATATTAACTTTATATGTATAAAGGCTAATAACATAGCTATTAATTTTCAAGAGTTGGTTCAAAATATAGTACTCTTAACAAACTTTATGGTAATATTTGAAGTTGAGATAATAACCAACTAGCTACGTTTCGCAGAGTAGTTCACATGATTTACAGTGCCCTGAAAGATATGAATGATTAGTATTTCGACGATTAATGTGACACTAGGAACACATGACAGATTTTTATCATAAATGTCTGTATAGCCGCTACACTACTGGAGCAAATATCAAAACAACTTTTTCTGGAACATAAGAGGAATTTTTTCGAAATATTATACTATTTATTAGGTAGTTTACGTACAACAACCCTGACAATTTGTACCAGAAAGAAAGCTAACTCGCCTGAAGATATATGTAAATCAAAACTTTTGTTCTTGTTATACGCAAACCTCCAGCTTGCCTTCCATTTCAAAGATTTTTACAATCACTGTTACAGACAGCCACGAGTACACTGCAAGTTAATTATTTAGCGTGAACGCACTTTTATAATTATAGTCGAACGTTAAAATCCCATTTGGGGTCAGGTCAAACAGTATCACAAAACCTATTCTGTCATTGATAAAAACAACATTTAAATTGTCATTAAGGTCTAAAAACTAGCCAAACCTAGTAATATGACACACTGGTGTTGAGCTTGCCGATTGGTTGTGTGTTGTTTCATTTTGATAAAGTTCCAAAGGCCTATAAGTTATAAGACTGAGCATTCAAAACACTAATAGTACAATTTAGTAGTAACGAATGTGGAGGGAAAATAACTCAATACTTACAATATTACGTTTCTTTATCCGTTCACGTATTTGCGAGATGGGAGCCTTAATATAAACTAATATATGAGGTTTCCAGAGATTTGGGACAGTCAATGCATGATTCTGTTTGAACCAAAGTAGTCCTAAGACGTCGAGACGATACTAATGAAGACTTACCACGCTCTGAGAGATAATTGCATTTATGCATGGCATCAGCGAATGCGAACTCTGAGAAAGGACCTCGGTCAATAACTACTCCTTGTCCTGTACGATAAGAGAATATAGGGAGAAAATTACCTGTATTGAATAAGTGACATAATGCTGTCAAATAGTTCCAGTAACGTCTCAAGTAAAAATGGTACTGGAGGAACAAGCCTTTTCCATTTTTAACCAGGTCTGGTTCATTCCAAAACATTTCGCATGTATAATATTTCGCGAAATCAGGAAGTAAGCAGTTATGGCAACGGAAATCAAAGGGTGGATCCACCATTTTATTGACATATATATCGTCTTCTGTCGGATCGGGAAAATATGCCATACCAAAGTGTTCAGCCAACTTAGCGGCAACATTGGATTTTCCAGAGGCGATATTACCTTCGACAAGTATTACTTTGGTGTTATCGTTAAAGCGATTCCCAGCCCTGTCAAAAATCGCAGTCAGTACATTATCCCCTCTGGCAAAGTAATCAAAACGAGGAGGTTTAGCAAGCTTAATATCCCCATCTACTGCAAGCTTTAGGGTACTTATTGAGCACCCCTTTAAGACCCCTCCACCTTTCTGGAATAAGCTTAGAGTCCTGGATGCCATCCAGTGACTGAAACACTTAACACCAATGACCTTCAAAGGCGCCCCTACCTAGGTCACTCAATGTCCAACAACTTAACACCAATTGGACTTCATTTTATTACACAAAGTAGGCTTTGGACCAGTAATGATCCCTTCCATTTGCTTCGAATCAGAGCTATATTACCGCTATGAATGAATCAACAGAGTATACTGAAACAACTTGTTTAGATTGAGAATTTCACTGATTCACAGTCCAAGTGGGGAAACGAAAAGTGGTTTCAGAACTTTGGAATGATGTACTCTTAAATTGATTGATTCCAGAGGAATTCAATCAGTAGAACAGGTTAGCACCTAAATCATTATCTAGGATAACAAATACTAATAATAGGTCAGCTGCTCAGTCACTTTTGTGACTGAAATATAGTCAGTAAATTTACTCCGTATATGATATTCATGAAACTCTTCCTGAATGACGTACTCTCCTTGTGGTCTCGTAATCTGTCTACGTTTTGTTCGTAATAAGGGTTCTCAGTCTGTGGCTGCACACCTAATTAGGTTCGATATATGTTGGATATACCATACGACATATGTCATCTCAAAGCTAGTAAATGACTTGCACTGCATCTTGAATGTTTTGAGTTCTTGTTTCAGTGCATATATGTACGACAGCGCTAAGCCATCTTTTCTTGCTTGGGCGCTTCCACTCTGTGTCTATAAAACGCGCATTTATCGGAGTCCGTACCTCAGCCATACTAGCCAGATAAGTTCAAAAATCATCCCCCTTAATAACCTTAACATTTATTTTTATATAGAAAATATCCCCATTTAGACATTTGGAAAACACAAAAGATTGAGCGAAGAAATATTTACTTTTCAATTAGATCCTCTTCTCTGGCTCTACTCTAATATATATAGCATTTTTACAATACACAACAATTTACCAAACAAGTGGTGATATGTTTGTTAACAATATTTAAACAGTGTCGAAATGTCAATGGGTAGATAATTAACGCAGAAAATCAATACACATTTAAAAAAGTAGAAATGGATAGAATAAATTAATTTTACAAGAATAACACGTAATTAAAGATGAAGCGGTCAAAATAAAAATAAAATAAATAATTTGGACAATTATAATTTAATAGGGGGAGGGGAGCGACGTAGTCCTGTCTTGTAAGGATGGCCACGGTAAGCAAAGTGGCTGTACAAATTTCTTCTGTACACATAGGCTTGGCTTCTTAAGGTGGATTCCGATTGCTTCTGCTGTCTGTAGAAGACGAACTCTTAGAGCAAAGTTGAGATTAGTCGGAATGCGATAAATGATTTTGAATGCAGTATTCACATCAACCTTGTGCTCGGTATCAACAAGGTGTGCTAAAATAGAACTCCGAATAGATTTTGTTTGTCCCTTGCTTAACCACGCTGGATGATGTTTATTGTCAGCCACTCCGGAAACATCATGGAGGAAGTTTCTGACGTACTTGACGACCTCTCTGCAAACCTGTATGATCGTCTTAAAGCTTCCTAAATGAAGACAGTTGCATCGACAGATCAACAAAAAGGGCAAGTTCTCATTCGTGGGCAGAAATTAAACGCCACGTACAAGGTCATTGATGGAGTGAGACGCTCAAAGGTCATTTTCGTCCATGTTAGTCGGCCATGTTGGATTGCAGTTCTGTAGCTGTTCGTTTACACATCGATTTTTCTGTTTATCCAGCACTTATTCACCACGTATCTTGATGCACATTGTTTACAAATGTTGCGTTTCACTTCATTATTGTTTCCGTTTCTGTTAAAATTAGTTATTTCGTTTGTTTCGAAAGTTTTTACCAGCAGGTCAGTGCATTCATTTCATTGTAATTGTTTCATACGTTGCATTCATGCATGGTTTCAGTGTTTTAATTGTTTTTCAGCTATTAATGAATTAGTACTGTGTAGAAATCTTGGAGATTATGCACGTGAACATGTTTGGGAAGCAGAAGCCATTGTTTCCAGTTCATTTTTGGTTGCCGTTATTGCTGCTGGCTCAGTTGGTTACTTAGTATGTTGGAATCTAGAAAAAAATGTCTCTCACGTTCATGTTTACAGCATGCAATAATCTACGAATGAATCCGCTGAAGAGAGCACCATCAGGGTTAATATTAGCAAAGTTTTCGAAGAACTAATTAAACCCAGAGAATTTAGAACCTGGTTTGAAGTTTAAAAAGCTTTGGAGCTTTTCGACAAGGAGTCTGTTGTCAGCTAAAAAATCAGGTATATTGTGAGAGAATCAAAATCAAGCAAGGATGAGCCAAATGTGAAGCATGAATGTGTGGTGTTTGTATGTACTTTTGGAAGCAAAAATAGGAAGCAATAGGAAATCCCTAAATGATTGTTAATGCCTAGTTTACTAGATCCAAACGCACGAACTAGGACTGCCTGTAGTAAACGCGGTGTTAACAACCATTTTATTTGTTTCAAAAGGATTTGAAAAGCGGATAACGTACAATGATCTGGTGAGTGTTTGGTAAGAATTTATCTAGCAAGAATAACGTTTCGGATTTTGGTCTACAATCGGTGGTTTTTTCGAATTTACAACCGTCTGAGAAGCCGATTATTAATCGGGGTGAAAAAATTGGCTTGTGATTTCTCCGTGGTTATAAACACGGTTGCCCATGATTTATAAGAAAACTTTAAATAAATTTTCCTGTAACCAGTGGTCTTCTTTTTCTTGGCGAAGCATCTATTGAGACTATTAGGTAGCAAAGTAGAATGTTTTGTGATTGAGAATCGTAGTCGTTGAGTTTCGGATTTATATCGCGCATCTAATTGCTATAACCCTATGAATAAAGCTTTTTCCTCATGGTGCATTATGATGTCTAGAAACCATAAGCACACTGTCTTCGATAAATTTGTTTTTACTTTTTAAATGACAGCAAATAGTGAGTCATTTGAGGTGATAGGATAAATACCTCTAAACGCTTTCGTGAAGAGATTAGGATATGTTTATTTTCTCGACTAGGAGGCGATCTTTTTACCCAGAAAGCTCTCAGGATGTCCGCTTTTACTTTGTAGTTCAAAGATAACGTTGAGTTGCTCACTTAGGTAGTAGCAACGGGGTAGCTTTAGGTAATGCGTCATAGAAGTAAGCAGTGTATGTCTACTGTGTCTAAATATATTAAACGTTGTAAAGCCGGTCAAATCGTAGTTCCCACATATGAGTTAGTTTTTTAAATAATGAGTGTACCGTGCTAGCGTTTGTGCTCGAAACGTCATCAGTTAATATAACTGTACAACACTGTCTAATTTATCAAAATAAAATCTTATCCATAATGGAGTTATACTCTACCACAGTGCCCAAGTTTTATACTTATATCAGCGTTTACCTTGGTTTGCATACCTAGCTCATGCATGCGTGTAATATACATTTAAGGCTAATACGCTGTTTGATGAATTAGTCCGAGATACTTAAAGTCAGACTTGAGCTCTATATCACTGTCATCAATTTTGCAACGGTCATAGGAATTAACAGCTTCACCTGACTTTCTCTTGCATCGGAAACTGAAATTGACAGTCTGACATTTGGAAGGATTTATTTTAAAAGCATTTTCTGACTACTAATAGAGAGCTGTTCATCTTAGTACAGTGTAGATGCGAATTAAAAGACACCGGAATAGTTAGTCCGCGCACTTGACATATTTCACTTCGTATGCGTATGTACATTAAGTTCGTCAAACTAAAATACAATTGGTACTGGACGACTATAATGGAGAAAATGTTGTGATGCAAGACTGCAGCTGCATCTAAATTACTTCTACTGCGGCATACTAGAAATAGATGAAAATTGTTTCTTTGCTCGCTGTCAAGTGAACAGTCTATTTGACGATGTCACTGCATATTAACAGATTAGTGAAGTAGCTGTCAAGCCTAAGTCATTAAATTTACTTGTACTTCATACTTGGCGTTTAACAGTGTACAGAATTGCAACTGGCTAGATAAGGCGATTTTAGCGTATCGAACAGTACAGAATTATTATTTAAATTGCTAAATCTTACTTAGTTTTTACAATGTGCTACTGTATAGAAACAGACACGAAATCTTACGAAGGGCTAAAGTAACAGTCTCATAATACTATAGTAAATCTCCATCCCTCTAACTAGGCTTAACATGCATTGATCCGAATTCACTTATTACAAAAGCACATAGTATAGCGACGCACTCAAAAAGTCTAGAGGAAGTAGAATTGAAGAGTATATTAAACATTTCATTAATTTACAAAAGAAAATCCCGATAAAGAGTATTAACGTTAGTTTGTCCGGTTGATATTTCCGCTGGTTTCATATTCAACAACTTCCGTATACCTGAAAAAAATAAAGCACATGTAAGGACTAGCACAACATGAATTTATGAAAGATAATTCTACATATTAGCACACACTGAATACACTGATTCTGTTAATACTAAGTAATATCTCATGCAAATAAATGTATATGTAGTTTTCAGCTGGTTTTTATATTGGCACTATAAGCATCAATAGACCTCAAATGTTTTCCAGTATTAAAGGATTACACGCAAATATCAAGACAATCTTTGAAGCTTCCATACTGTTGAGGCGTCATACTCTCATTAACCTTAGTTGCAGATCAACTTCACAATGAATAAGTTTACATTAAATGAAGTATTGCAAACGTGTAACTTAGAAATTGATCCATAATCTCAGTAATGCCTAATGAGCATAGTTTTATGAATCCTACAGAAATTACATTCTCATATTTAGGAATCCATAGCCATCAAATATAAGCTGAACATGCCTCAACTCTAAGCAACTATGCACAGTGTTAGCAGCATAGAGAAACACTTAAAATATTGTAAGATACGCAGACCTGTTGCGTTGATGAGGATAACAATGACATATAATGCAACCTAGACATTCGATCGTGACACTGCATCTGTACTGCTTCATGTTAATGGAAAATTCAGGAAAAATTCATCACCACTACTGGTGATCAAAAACAGTGCAGCATTAAGTTTACAGTGCCAGTGTGAATGGCATAACAGACAGTAGATTGATAGTAATAGAGCTGACTAGATTCAGTTCTCAAAATCGACACAATCCATGTGTATAATGATACTAGACACTGAATTAATGCACTAAGTGGCACAGTAAGGAAATTTAAACGAGTGATTGCCTTCTCCACGGCACTGCACTTGCAATAATCATGACAACCACCTACGTTTGCTGGCCAAGCAGTCAGCTAAGGAGACAATGGCACAATATAAATAAAGTTGAGGTATTTTTTTATACATTGAGTCCACATAACTCATATTACACTACACCAAACAGTGCAAATATACATGAAATCCACTTAGAAATAACCTCTCAACTTACGATAATTCCTGTCCAAATATACATATGGTGAGACAAATCCACATGATTACTTCTATTCCCACAGAAGGTTCTGTTAGCATTTACAGGTGATTTCGAAGTACTGATAGAATTCTTTTGTCAAAAAGGACTGTTCTTCACACGAAAATAGGCTGAATTAATATCCTGAGACGTGAAGTCTCCATTGAATGATGACGAAAGGTGCAGCATCTAAATAAAGTAGACTATTTGTGTAGATGAAATTACCCTTCAACTATCCTGTCTTTCTCACTATAGCGATATTTTGCTACAGTTCGCCTGAAACACTGATCGTTGCAACCAATATGCTAGGGGGTGTCGCAGTCAGATTACATGACGCGGACACCAAAATAACAGGCCAGAAAATGGGAATTCTCATCAATCCAGATAACATATAACACAATTTCATTAAAAATTATTGACAAAAAAATTTCCAAGTGAAATTTTAACAGCGGTACTAGAACGTGGCATTTAACGTCTACCCATTCGTGATGTTGGCTGAAATTATCCCGCATGCTCAAGGTCATTGATGGAGTGAGACGCTCATAGGTCATTTTCGTCCATGTTAGTCGGTTATGTTGGATTGCAGTTCCGTAGCCGTTCGTTTACACATTGGTTTTACGTTCTGTTGGCATTTATAGGTGATTCCCATGTACTGATAGCATTCTTTTGTAAAATAGTACTGTTCTTCACACGAAATTAGCCACGTTTTGACGTAGTCTTCATTGAATGACACTATGTCGGAGGCTGCAGCTTCTATAAGAAATAAACTATTTGTGTAGATGACATTACCCCCCAACTACCCCATCTTCTTCATTGTAGAGATGTTTTGACGCATTCAGCATGAAACACTAATCATTACAACCAATATGCTAAGTGTGTCGCAGTCAGATTAAATGACGCGAACACAAACATAACTGGCCAGAAAATGAGAATTCCTATCAATCCAGAAAACATATAACAAAATTTTATTAAAAATTATTGTCAAAAAAATTTGCCGAGCGAAATTTCAACCAACATGCCGGATAAGTCCAGCCCGTGATGTTCACCTCAGCAATCGTAAGTGCACTCAGATAATTAGGTGAATGAAACAGCCAGTTGCTGATTTCAAGACTGGTGACGCCTTCCTCAAGCAGGTTTGGCTTCAAAGATTGCCTCAGTCATTTCAGAGATTCTTAGCACCACTCCACAACTCTCCTTTACTAGAGTTAGCAGAGGCTGCCGACAGGGTTGTAGAGGTAACTAAGTCAAGCGTGGGCAATTCGGCTGCAGTATCTGACGGTCCTGCCGAGTTAAAGGATCCTTACACCGGCAATTCATCGAGTTTCGACGCGGTGGCTCATATCACTAAGCTTTACGAGAACCTTCGCAGCGTTAAGAAAGAGATGAAAGCTAGAAGAACCCCCCATAGTCGAGCCACCCTATCTCGTAATAAGTCCTCATCACGTCCTGGCAATATGTGCCCAAAGCCACGAAACTTCCAGTCTGGACTGTGCTGACACCACAGACGTTATGGTGCGAATGCCCAAAGGTGCACCCGCCCCTGCACCTCTGACACCAAGCAGTCGGGGAACGCTCAGCCCGGCACGTGATGGCGACTAACGTCGCTGGTGAACCACTTCTTTGTCGCCTCTTCTGTGTTACAGACCGTCACTCTGCGGCACGTTTCCTGGTTGATACCGAGGCAGAAGCTAACGTGATCGCACAGCGGCCACAGCTAACATCCCTAAACTCCGTGCCGTCAAAAGTTCGCCTATCGCAACATACGGTCGGAGATTCCTCGACCTCAACATTGGACTTTTCCGTCCCTTCCATTGGGTCTTTATTGTTGCCAATGTGACCACCGGCATTACTGGTATGGATCTCTTACAGCACTATCAGCTACTCGTTAATGCTGGTAAGCATAACTGATAGATTCTACCAAAAGACACTCTGCCTCCGGTATTGTCACGCATACGCCTTCACTCAGCCCACTG